CCAGGTAGAGCACGGCGTCAATATGACGACATTTTTTCGTCCTTTTTTTTCGAAGACGTCACATGCCGTAATCAGAACGTTAAATTGACGACAATATGTTGACGCATATATGACGTCATAAAATGACGTACAGATGATGTCATTTAAAAGTCACCTATAACCTATTTAGCTTCAGATATTTGACTGGCACGTGCGCAATTATGGCATTGAAAGTACGAGTTTAAATTACTAAATATCCCTGCGAATTATTAGATCATTTTGTACGGATGTAAATATCCTTAAAACTTAAGCCAAAATTACTCTACTGGCAACGCTGTATATTTGTAAGACAACAATGCTTAGAACGCCGTGCGGCTGCGCGTTGCGGTGTTTTTTAGCCTTCACCGTGTTGTGGCTTTCACATCGTGATCGGAGTTGTGTTCGAGTTTGTTTGTTGTGTTCGTAATAAATAAAAAGGTACGGTCATTTTTATTCTATTATATACAATATTTAGTTTTGTACCCGTTCAAGGTTTTGGTTTTAATTGTAAGTTATGGCGTACGTTATAGTTGAATTTGGAGACGAAAATGGGCGAATTGGCGCCGTCCATAAATCTTGGTTGACGCCACTAAAGAAACAAGCTTATTGGCCTCCAAGAGCAGGAGAAATTCGATAAAGCTCTACGTTGCGGCGAAAACGTCGAAAGCTCATGGACATTGTGGAGTGTAGATAGAATATTTTACCAGACAGGTTGGTGATCAACTTGGTTTTCTGCTTTTCATGCATTAACTTTGATATTTTAGATCACATTTTAAAAGCAAGACAAACATTAAAGGAAGCGGAATTTACTTCTAGTTTAGAGAGTGAGTGTGATGAGGCAGCAAACACTGGTCGTCAAAAGCGTAAGAAAGCTAGCCGAAAGTTGTTTGGTTCTTCAGAAGAAGACTGCGAGGAGGAAGAAGAGTCTTTACCTAGACCACCACCAATTAAGCGACCTACTGTCACATCTCGGAAAGGTATCGTTTTTTAATACATTTCTGTAATTTAATCTTGATATCATAGAAGCTGCCGTATTGAAATCGCCAAGGCATTCACACTTGGTATCGACAAGATTGGTGCAACGACCAACTAATCAAACCGACAATTTCCAAAGTCCTCAAACGTCAAAAAGCACTTTACATCATCGAAATGCAGCGGAGCAGTCTCGGGAGCAATTAACCGTTACAGGTTTGAATGTGGAATTTGCAAAATTTATTTTCCTAATGGACGTTTTAGTTGTAGATAAACTTATTGCCTTAGTGGCTCGTGTTAAAGAGCAAAACGACGAAATTTTGTCTTGGATCGCAAAACAAGACAATAAAAATACCAATAACATTTCATCGTTTGGTATGCCAGAGATTCCATTCTCCCTACCACTTCAAACTCGACAGGAATTACATGAGTTTAATTCTTATTTAATTAATAATGGAGAAAAGTATACTGCTTTGGTAAGTTGTCAGTTGAAATAGTTCAGTTTTTATGATTAGGATTTTAGGGTTCGTATTTGACTACTCTCGGTGGTGATACTATCACATCTAAAACTAACAGAATATTAAAAAATCTGATATCTGATTCGGTTGCGTCACAATTTAATTTTTACGGTCAGCGGTCCACAAAACAAGCGTTCTCCACATTATTGGTGAAGAGCTTAATCGTTGGTAAGATCTTCATGTAAAGGTAGGATTTAACACTAATTTATCGATGATTTAGATGCTGTTAAGAAGAGCATTTCAAATGCTACAGACAAGGAGTTAAAGTATCATTTCCCATTATTCATAGTTATGAAGAAGTTGACGCTTAATTATTCTTTATTATTTAGTAGTGTAGCTCTTGTATTTGTATTTTTATAGCATAACACCTTTTTTTAAAGCATTGTTTGCAAGCAACGAATAAATAGAAGATGGTTACACATTCGTTTAACTATACCTCACATCAAATTACATTAGTAATTAACGGCCCAATCACGTCATTCACTGACGCCCCATCGTCAGTACATGATATTTAGATCAGTAGCGTGTCGATTTAATATAAGCAAGTCAACCTGTTGGGAAGTATTGTGTAGAACAGCAAATCGTCTTATGCGAGTCAATCTTTAGCAACAGCAACAATGCAATTCTTTGAAAGACGAAACCATTTCCCTGGTAATTTGCTTAATAAAATATGTGTTGGATTTAAGGTGATAATTAAATTTTAGGTATCGTAGGGTGTATTGATGGGAGTCACATCAAAATTCTAGCACCGAAACAGCATTCTAATTCTTATGTAAATAGAAAAAAGTTCCATTCGATTTTATTGCAAGGCATTTGCAATCACAAACGATTATTTATTGATGTTTATGCAGGAGAACCTGGGTCGCTACACGATTCTAATCTATTCACTAAATCAGATTTGTATGAACGTATTCAGGATGGTACTACTGTTCAGTTTTATGAGAATTCTCATCTTGTTGGTGATCCCAGCTAACAGCATGCCGTCATAATAACGTCAAAAACACGCCACAATTATCGTCATTATTACGGCATTGTTGATGTCAACAATCACGTCAAAATAACGGAAATGTGACAGGTGTCAATGACGTATCATAAATAACGTCTATTCGACGTTTATACACACGCGTACTTTTCACGTCACATTGTAAATATCCTAGACGTATTTTTGACGTTTTTTAAAGGCGTCTTATTTACGTTACTTATAGGGTAAAAAATACTCCAATGAAAACTCAATTCATTTATTTTGCAAATAAGGTCGGTATTTTTACAAAAAAAAAAAACAAACATTACAAATTTGTATGTGACATAGGAAATGATACATACTTTTCCGGTAAAGGTAAAACTAAACATTTGATTCTAATTAATCTTAAAGGCCACTTACTTAACTCAACAGATAAATTATCAATAAGGTATATTCCAAAGTTAGATGATTTTACTGGATAAGTATAAAAAGAACTATATGAGCAAAAGTGTTTTCCTATTAAAAATATTTCGTTATCGATTTTAATAACATTGTGAATTTGAATCACTACTTTATCATAGGACATGCAGTACGAATCTTTAACAGAATGCAGATGACTGGTAAAAATACAATCTTTTTCTGCCCAATAAAATTTTTTAAATTGCTCACATTCAACCAGATCTACCAATGGACCTAAACAGTGCTGTAGTGAAAGTAGGTTTTCACGTGATTTAAACGTTAATGATACATTACGGGTTCCTTCTATTATTCGCCTAGCTACCTGTTGAAGCGGTAATCTAGAACCTCTTAAAAGTTTTTTTAACCATCGACGGCATGACGGCATCTATTGGGCATACTGACGTACTCAGCATAAAGATGACCCAATGTCAACGTCAATGTGTTAGCTGGGTTGCATATAAATTATCAACTAATCTTATAGTTTGGGTTTAAAAATTTTGGTAATTTGACACCGGCGAAAATAAATTTTAATAAGAAATTAAGTGCTAATCGAGTTGAGATTGAAAATGCGTTCGCTTATTTAAAAGGCAGGTTTCGTATAGATTAAAGTTTGTAGAAACAGTAAGATTAGACCTAATTTCATTATTTGTGGTTACTGCTGCTATACTACATAATGCATGCATTATGAACAACGATTTGCCAAATGAGTACGTAAATATTCAAGAAGAATTGGAAGGTGAAAGGGAGAACAATGCTGTAAATATTGCAGATATTAATATTGAAAATAATGCTATTCAGAAAAGACTCAACATTATGTACACATTGCCCCTTTAATTTCTGTAAAAATTGTAGTAGTATTGAATACTGAAATTAATATCAAGTACTTTATTTCATGTAAAATATAAAACACGGGATGACCCAACTGGCCGCCGCCAACTGGCCGCGGCCAACTAGCCGCCGCCAACTGGCCGCCGGGACAACTGGCCGCCGGGACAACTGGCCGCCGGGATAACTGGCCGCCGGGATAACTGGCCGCCGGGACAACTGGCCACCGCCCGCACCACCTACCTTTTGCCTAAATGCAGGGATAAACGCTTGATAAATCAACTAGTCAAATATTAGTCAACTCAAAAATCAAAACGCAGTTAGAATTTCCAATATAGAAGCAAGCAGATTTATTTCTTACATTTCCA